GGCCTTCGGTTGAACTCCCTCTGTGGCCACGAACCGTGTGAGGGGTGTGCCAAAATGGGCGTCAGGCGCATGCAGCCTGTGCCACTGGGGCCTTCGGTGGAGAGAGTAGATCTTAACCGTGGAGTTCAACACTACACTACGACACTACACTATCTTCACTAGTGTGGTGTCATGTCCACGCGACAGCGACACTACAGGACGACGCTACACTAAGGTTTAGTCTGGTGTCATAGTGTAGTGTCAGAGGATACCAGGTGTGACACTACACTATGACACTACAGTACGGCTGGGGAGGGAGAGACGGACGACGTTGTTCTTCTGCTTGGTCTTCCTGAAGTGCTGCTCACCTCAACTCCGCGAGAGAGGTCTCTCCGCTGCGGTTAGTGTGGTGTCATAGTGTAGTGTTGGAGGCGCCGGAGTGCGACACTACACTACAGCACTACACTATCTTCACTAGTGTGGTGTCATGTCCACGCGACAGTGGCACTACAGGACGACGCTACGCTAAGGTTTAGTCTGGTGTCATAGTGTAGTGTCAGAGGATACCAGGTGTGACACTACACTATGACACTACAGTACGGCTGGGGAGGGAGAGACGGACGACGTTGTTCTTCTGCTTGGTTTTCCTTAGGTTTTGCTCACCTCGACTCCGCGAGAGAGGTCTCTCCGCTGCGGTTAGTGTGGTAGTGTTGGAGGCGCTGGGGTGCGACACTACACTATGACACTACACTACACTACGGCTAAGACGGCTTCCGACGGCGTCAGACGGGCCAGGAGCCCACCAAGACGGCCCAAGATGGCTCAAAGATGGCCCAAGACGGCCCAAGAGGCCGCAAAGAGGTCTCCAAGACGGCCCGAGACCTTCAAGAGGGCCTCCAGGAAGGCCCGACGAGGCCAAAATCCTAGATTTCCCGTTGGTTGTTGAAAGACTTGGGCATTTGCTTCTGTTCTGCCTTCCGACGGCCCGAGACGGCCCAAGAGCCCCCAAAGGTCACCCCAAGATCGCCCAATCAAGAAACATCCAAGATGGCCCCAGGACGGCCGAAGAGGCCCCCCACCAAGACGGCCCAAAGGGGGCCCCAAGACGGCCCAAGAAGCCTCCAAGACGCCCGTGATGACCTCCAAGACGGCCCTGGAGCACCAAGAGGGCCCCAAGTCGGCCCAGAGAAGACGGCCCAAAAGGCCTCTAAGAGGGCCTCCAGGAGGGCCCCAAGGAAGGCCGGAAGAGGACAAAATCATTGATTGTATATAAATTGTTGAAGGAGTTGGGCATTTGCTTCTTTTCAGCCTTCCGACGGCCCGAGACGGCCCAAGAGCCCCCAAAGGTCGCCCCAAGATCGCCCAAGAAACATCCAAGATGGCCCCAGGACGGCCGAC